ATATTTATTTCACGTTTCATTTTCCTATTGGTCAATATTCACGGTAGTTCTAAATGTATAAGTAGGCATTTGTCTGTAAAGAATTATTCTTATTTTTCTCCTGACCCCATAAACCATTTTCATCTGCGGTTCGTGTTCTGATATATTGGAGATCGAGTAACAGTATTGGGGTGGTACTGGGATATCTGAAGTTGGTCAGTCGGTAGAAATTAGAGTAGCCAACCCGCGGTCCACACTAATTCAGCGATGGAGATTTAGCAAACAAGTTGTTGACTAACTATGGATCCAGTCAAATTAGAAAAATTGTTCGAACAACAGCTGAAGCTGATGAAGTTGATTACTCAGGCGCACACATCTTCTCGAGTCCCAATTACAGCGACAAGACCTCAATCAGTTGATGGTATTGCCAGTGGTATTTAGGAATTTCTCTACTATCGTGACGCCAATATTACATTCGATACCTGGTTCAGGCGTTATGAAGACCTTTTCAAAGTTGACTTTGCTGACAGAGATGATTCGTGGAAGGTGCGTCTTGTCCTTCGGAAACTTGGTCCATCCGAGCTCGACAAGTATTGCAACTTCATTCTTACGCAGAACCCACACGACCATTCCTTCGACGCCACTATTCAATCTCTTCGGCAAGTTTTCGGTGATCATCATTCACTTTTCAATACTCGATATCGCTGCTTAAAACTGGTCATAAATGAGACCGATGACTCCTTGAACCACGTCGGCGTTGTCAACCGTGAGTGCGGACGGTTCAAGCTCAGATCCCTCACTGAAGACCAATTCAAGCCCCTGGTACTCACATACAGTCTCCAATCACCCAAATTCTCCAGCATCAGAACTCGGTTGCTTAACCACCTTGAACAAGACCCAACACTGTCACTCAATGCGCTCATAGACGAGTACCAACGTATCATAAATTGGCAGTGTGCCCCCACTTTGGTTCAATCTGTGCGCAAGGGTGGTTCCGAGGTTCATGCTGTTCAACATCAGAAAAAATCTTCAAGATCGAACACCCCGAGTCTGTCGAACGCCAGCGCTGTTTCTGTCTCTAATCACTCCAAACCGTCTCAGTAGAAGCCCCGTTCGACATTTTGGCACTCTGGAGCATGGCACTATGTGAAGCTTTGTCCATTCAAACAGGATGTGTGCGATCGCTGTGAGAAAGTTGGTCACAAAAGCGGCTTTCGCAAATCCGACCGATCCAATAACCGTCGAAATGCACAGACGCAGCGTCATTTTCCGAAAAAGCCGATTACCTCATCAAGGAGTTTAGCCGTAGTCTCCTACACTCATGCCGCGACTCGATGCAAATTTCTGACCCTCTCAATCAATGGTCAGCCAGTTCGATTGCAGTTGGATACTGCATCAGATATCATTATTCTTTCGAAAATGACTTGGCGAAACTTGGACCAACCCCTCATCAAACCATCCACTCAGACAGCCGTCAGTGCCTGTGGTGGTCTTCTCCACCTTCATGATGAACCATATTGCTGCGTTTCGCTCAGTAGTACAACCTTCAATGGTGAGTGCTGTAAGATCTGTTTTGAATGTTTTGTGTGTGTGAAATCCCTCCATGTATACACTTGCACATTGTTCCTGTCGATTCCCTTAATTCTACATTGTTAGTCTTTTGATTACATTTGGGTTGTTATTATTTGTATTTTTTATCATAGTTTTTATTTTTCTTGCGTCTTCACTAGGTTTTTGTGTTTCTTCCCGAACTGCATCCATGTTGTTTTACCTGATACTTGTTCTTGGCGGCAGCCATATTGATTTGCTCCTCCTTTTGTGCGCGTTCTTTCCAGTCATGATAGAATAGCGTTTATTTGTTGTGACTGGTAATTTTTCCCGCATCTTTTACCAACGTCCTTATTTATTGTAATTTAGATTTGATTGACTGAACAATTATTGGTTGAATAGCCGGGTGGTAATATTTGTTTTGGTCACGATGTACATTTAAATTTGTGATGAATTGTAGAACCGTCATTTACCCGATTACTTGTTTTGATTTTGACGGGCAAGGGCGCGTTTCTAACCAACGTGAACGACTATTCTTCAGTCCAAACAGTAGTTTGGATTCTACAATGCTACATCACTAATTCTCCGCTCAACCTTCTAGGTTTAGATTGGTTCGAAGAACTTGGCCTCGCTGATATTCTCATTAGCGCTATCTGCAATCAAGTACAAACTACTGCCTCTACACAACAGCATTCTGCAGACCTTCAAAATCGATACACTGAACTCTTCCAACCTTGTTTCGGACTTTGTTCCACAACGAAAGCTGTTTTAATACCACAGCCAGAAGCCATGCCAGTTTGTCGCCAAAAATGTCCAGTTACGTACGAATCTCTACCACTGGTTGACGCTGAACTTCAACGTTTAGAAACTGAGGGTGTTTTAGCACCTGTTTCTTATTCATCGTTGGCTGCACCAACTGTGGCTGTAAAAAAAACTCATTGGTTCCGTATGCATCTGTGCAGACTTTTCCTTAGGACTCAACGCGGTTTCCACAACAGCATCACTATCTGCTGCCGATCCCAGATGACTTATTTACTATTTTGAATGGTGGTGTCTACTTTGCTAAGCTCGATCTGGCGGATGTTTACCTTCAAATTCCAGTCGCTCTGGAATCGAGAGAGATTTTGACAATCAACACTCACCGAGGACTTTTTCAGTGTATCCGGCTGCCACTTGGTAACCATTGGCATGATATAAACGGGAGAGGATTCCGGTGCTACACTATTAGCAAATGCCTTTCGAGCAATGCATGTTACCGCTAAAAGATGTTCGGGAAGCTACCAGAGAAGACCCGATTTTCAAAGAAGCCATCACTTATATTCAGAGGACATGACCAGTTAAACAGCTGAGTGGTGGTATGCAACAACTAGCGAATCGTTCAGAGCCCTCTGTGTTGTTAACGATTGTTTGATGTTCAATGAACTCTTAGTAATTCCAACAACCCTACGCTCCAAGTTCCTACGTCAATTTCACCATGGACACCCAGGGATAAACCGTACGAAATCCATCGCTCGCAGCTATGCATATTGGCCGAACATGGACAAGCAGATTTTGAACTTCGTCAAAAGATGTTCACATTGTCACACAGCTGCGAAAAATCCCCCTAACATGCCTGCAGTACCCTGGCCAAAGTCAGAAAATCCATGGTCGCGAGTGCATATTGACTTCACCGGAACCCTAGATAGTACCACATATCTGATACTGGTTGACTCCTACCCCAAATGGCCAGAGCTTTTGCCAGTTGCGCTACTCGCTACAACTCGAACCATCAAACTCCGTAATCAGATCTTCGCTCAGCATGGTCTTCCAGAAACAATAGTAATAGACAGTGGTTCACAGTTCACATCTAGCCAATTCTGAGAATTTCGCCTGCAAACCTCGATCAACCATGCCTGTTTTACGCCATATCATCCGCAATCTAATAAACAAGCTGAAAGGTTCGTTGATACGTTTAAACGAGCCATGCTTAAAGCACGAGTTGAGGGGACCGCAGGAGATATCATAGAACGATTTCTAGTTGTGTACCGGACAACCTCACATGACTTATTGCCAAACTTCCAATCCCCTGCTGAGATGCCTATGGAGCGAAAGCTACGAACAGTTCGTAGTGTGATGACACCCGAACAAGTGGCCCAGCAAAGCCCCCAGATGCAGATTACGCGAATTCCTTACGAAGTTGGTGCGAAAGTGTATGCACGGGACTATAGACACAGATGTGATAGATAGGTAGACGTTGATGTCACAAGGAAACATGGGAACGTCATATATAATGTCGAGGTGAACCAAGACATCTGTACCAGGCATCAGAATCAACTAAGGCCGAGGGAAGCTAGTGAGAAAGAAGCAATTATTAAACGCGTCCCACTCGACTAGCTGTTGGATACTTTTCAACTTCCGCAATACTTAAAACAGAGAAAACTGAGTCACCTACTCTGGTAGAACATCCCTCTGTTTCTGGGTGGTTACTATGGCGGCCGGATCGCAGGCGAAGATAACCAAAGAAATGTCAAGTAAACCTTTGGATACGTCACTTTTAACTTAACTAAAGGGAGGTGTTGAGATATTCATTAAAATATCTTAAAAATTATCCCGTTAAGTCTAATGCTATCCTTGAAAGTGAAATGGTGTCTTTTTCTTATTCATCAATATTTATTTCACGTGTCAATATTCACGGTAGTCCTAACTGTATAAATATGCATTTTTCTGTAAAGTCTGTTTACATTTTAAGCGAATATTTTCAATCCAAACATCTAATTCAACAAACAAATGTCTATTTAATAGAACGTCTATTATGAATAACAAAGCAGTTTGCAATAATCTTCAAAATATTCCACCTAAATATCTGTGAACTGATTAAAACATTCAATGGAACAGGATCTGTTCATCGTGTCTAATCATTGTCTTGTTATTCCAATTACAATCGATGACTGAATTCAAAGAGAATATTAAACTGATGACAAGTACAATGTATTCATACATCAATAGGAAAACACAGTACAGTGTGGAAAACTGTCGTGATTTGCGATAGCTGTCCAGATAATATTTTGTGCAGGTAACCACCTGTAATTATGAAAACGTAGATCAATACTTCGTTATCGATGCATTCGTATCAATATGTGTATCAGTGAAATATTAGGCATTTAATGACTTAGAGTTACACATTTAGTAATTTCTGAACACTCATACATAACAAATGAACAGTAAGCGCCTTGTATTTTGACCCGTCAAATATTGACAGATGATCGTTTTTATAACAAAGCATCATATAGATTGAGCCGTTCAGCAACTCAATGCCTCTCTTTCAGCGATTCAGCTTGGCATCTCGTTGTGTTTGCTTCAAAATGTTTCGTGATGAATGGTTATGAATGTTGTGAATAGTAGACACTAATGCTTCAAAGTTCTGATTTAAACAGAACGATATCTTTGAATGCATAATAATCAATGAACGGTTATTTGTATTTGAATTCGATTATTTATTCGGAACTTACAATTAACATTTCACCGCACCAACAAACCAAGGTTGCACCTAGTAAACCTTTCTAAAATAAAGAAAAGAAAACAATTCACCCAACTTCATCACAGATCTACATAAGTATCAGTGGATAAACAGTATTACTTTATTAATTAACTCTACCAATTTTAAACTATTATGTACCAGTTCATGTATGAGACCGATCAGGCTGTTATTCTGAATTCGCACATCATGTAATCATTCTGTCTCATGCTTGACAGGTTTCTAAACAACGAATTAGTTTCGTCAAAGACTGTATCACGAAACATTCAAGCTACGTATTCCACGAATATGAAATCGTTGCTTGAAGATGTACTGTTGGTGGTTTTGACTGTAATTATCATTTTGTTAGACAATCATAATATATAGGTAGTATTGAGAATTAATTTCTCAAATTATAACATTATTTCATGATGCTTTGTATTAACAGCGTGCAGTGTAAACTCCACATCAGATTGCTGACGTTTACCAGTTTTAATCCATGTGTAAAGGAAACTGGATTAATTAAGCAATTTATACGTGATGAATATATGATGGTGCAAACACTGTTGTTAGGTTCGAATCCCGCGGGGTGCGGGACCGTGGATGCGCACTGCTGAGGAGTCCCATACTTGACGAAACGGCCGTCCAATGCTTCCAGGTTTCCAATGGTGGTCTAGCTTCAACTGACTTATAGTTTCAATGTGTGAAAATTTCCAAAAAATAAACTCCACAAACCCCTTCTGAAAACACTGTTAAATTTACTATTGCGGCGATATGATGTGAATAAACGTTCAACGCAGCCAAACATGTATTAGAAAACAAAGATTTGTTTGGAATATTCCTCAATGAAATATGAATTGAAGATGTATTTCTATTTCAATGTTGGAAACGTTTCATCGATATTCATTATCGGCAACATTTCATTAGGACAACTGTAGCTTTTCAAGAAAACCACTTGTGGAATGTGGAAATCTTTGATTAAATCAACTTACGCTTCCATATATCACACCGAAAACAAAGAAAATCAATCCAGTTACAGCAAATACGCAACACAATGTGAACAAGATTATCATCCATTTCATTTTTGAACCTTGTAGCTTTATATCCAGCAAAATGGCCATGATGAAGATCGCGGTAGCTATAGATACAGAAATAATTTGTTCGTACCATTCTCCAACCGACATAAGTAATACAACACCGACAATAATAAAGACCATCTGAATATTGAAAAAGTAGTGTCAAATTACTATTATTTCAGAAGATGAATCGGTCAGCAATTAAAGAAATAATGAAAGAATAATCTTCACTGTCCTGCATTCGATTGAAATGCTTAGAAATGAATACTTATAGATACAAGCACATGGCAAGGAATGCTTATCCAAGTCTATCATATTGACGAACATGAAGTAGTTTCAAAGCTAATTCGCTCAATCAGTGCACATGAACATGTTTTGCGAGATTTATTACCTATAGTGTGTGAATTCTATTAACTTGGGTAAACCGAGAACCACGACAGCTAGTGGTGACTGCAACTTGATGCACCAAATGATGACTCGTGTATCATTAAACACAAGTTCAGTGGCAGATAAAGTGTGTGGACGATTACACAAATTAAAATGACACAAATCCAATTCGTTTAGTTGTTCTGTGTTTACAGCCCATTCCACATCTTACAAATGGTAATATCAACAAACGTAGGTGAGAGTGAAATGTATCGGTATCACGTGTATCCACGTCCACATATTTCTGAATTATCTAATAACATGAACGAACACCATTTAATGTTATATTATTTTCACGAGTTACCAGTTAAGTAATAGCCCATAAACGAACGGATCACCAATGAAATCAGTGAAACTATAGAAACTGGATCTCCAAACATATTAAGATCTTAAAATTCAACATCGAAAATCATCTGTTCAAGTCAACCTTCAAACATTCTTTTATCTCGATCACCGTTATCAAACTAACATGACAATATTTACATTATTCAACAAACAAAGCTACAATAAATTCAATCGATGGTTGAATGAAAATACCATGAATGTAATTTTAATATCATAATCAACTGACCGTTATCACGATGACGATTGTGTTCATTGTGGATTTAGTATGTAGATTTTTAATAAATATTATTATTAATCCAAGAACTAATCCGATAAATCTGAAGAACAAAAGAGAGAAATGTACAACATACTAAACTCACATATACAATAGGCCATAGAGATGTGCATCAGGTGTTCTACCTAATCTGTATGTATGAAATGGTTGAACAAGTTTCTCATTGTCTCAGTTCGACATTTTCAAAAGTTTATGAAACTTGTCAAAATAAACAAAGATTGGAATACTTAATGATTGGTCGTCTTGAATATCTTATTTCATCTTGAAAATGCCTTGGTATGGCCGAGATTGAGGAGAAATAGGTCTCTATCTCGAAATTCTCTCAGATGGACACGCGTATAAAGCCACTGCCAGAAAAGTCCTACTCACTTCCCTCTCATGGCTGGTTTGTTGTTTTCAAAATTGAGAAAACAGAAAGCGAATGTCCAGCGCTTCAACCTGATTAGTGGACACGGAGAATCTTTTTGGGGGAGTTGGAAAACACTGACTACAAACGAATGATGCACATGGCTCCAGGATACTGTGGGAAGAAATGGCATGTGAAACTATTGTTGTCCACTGGCTACCGTGAGACTGCATCTTCTGACGTTGCTCCACTGACTTGTGTATCAAGCGTTTTAGTCGAGGGCTCCGAGTGTTACTCCGTAAGAAAACCGCTTGCTTCGATCTGGTCACTCGGACAGTATCACACCTCACTTGTGTGTCGTATATGTATTCGCTGACCATTTGTACCAATATTTATGAATTCAAATAAATACCTAAAGATATTTCAGTATGGTCATTTATTGTGATGTGATGTAACAAAAAATGAGAGTTGTTTGTACTGGAAACTAAACAAACTAGTTTGCTGTTCCTCAATCATAACATTCTTGTCAAACACGGGTCAAATTATTTATAACAGTGTATTAATCGGTTCAATGAATGATACGTAATAGTAATACATGGGAAATTGTCGTTATGATTCTCGGGGAATACGTATGTTATAAACATATATTACTTACGTTAATATGAGACCACTGAGAACAACTGGTTCTGTATACTGAGTAAAGCTGAATCTGTCAAATGGAATGAAAAATGTCTTACATGCAAATAGAATTATTCTGACTGGTTTCATTTGACAAATTATCAAATTCGAATTTCATCATCTTTGAACTATCTGCAATGGAGATTTGTGGATAATTCACCTTTGGAAATTCACCTTCCACAATCACCAATTCTAACGTTTACTGAAATAAGTAAGAATTCACATTACAGTAATGGAAATAATCAATTTAATGGATTACGTAAAACCTTCAGTTTTCATTCTCATGCCTATTCCTTTCTTTTTTCATTGTATTTCAACAGTTATGGATTCATGTACAGGATTTGACTTTTATCTGACTAGTTTGCTGTATGTATCATCATTACGAGATTCATAACCAAGACCGATAGCCGATGAAAATTGATTTCATTAGTTTCACGTTTGCTGTTCACTGCATACAGTGACTTAAAGTCATTAACGTTATCGTGCTCGATCTGGTGAAGATAGTTTACGCTGACTAATTTATTCATCTCAATAAATAATATTCAATGGAATTATGTTGTTTCTTACGTTAGTCTACTTATTTCACTATGATAAAGTTCCACGTCCGCCTGGAGCTCCCCTGAGTTTACTGCCGGTTCCGTACCACGATAAAGCTGGAGGGTTGAGCAAAGTGTTAGTGACCACATCCCGTAGAAAACTCACTCACTAAAAAACGACAACCACAGAAAATAATTCAAATCACTTAGGTATGAAAAATTTGTGGTTATTTAGGCACAGTTTACAAGTGGATATCATACAATCGAAGAGTGACTGTCCTCCCGATTTCTGAGGGAAATACTTTGTTTGTATTTCAACATTAGAAGTGAGGACTCGTACCTCTTTATATCAAGAATAATACTCAAACACCCTGACTTACTACGATGAAGTTTGTACTATTAGAAATTCCGTAGTGAAAATAATGTCAAAGGTCGCTCATCGTGGTGTAAGACTTACACTTTCTTATTCTTCATCTTCTCATGTGGCATTCTTATCAAGAAAAGTTTTCGACCTGTCTTTTTATATGGTAAGGCTAAATGCTTATCGCATCGCTCGAAATTTACAGTGAATATTCACTACACTTCTCCGTTATTCTTTCCGATGATTTTCAGGAAAGATTTTGTTGCATTGTGGAGAGCACTGAAGGCAGTGAGTAGAGTGTGTGGCGAGTCGTTCGAGATGAATATGAACATGATTTTGTAAGCAAAGATGTATAGTGGCTAGTTGTGGAATCCAGGAAGCGCGTTTCGTCTGTTTCTAGGCACAATCCGTCTATGCGAATAAAGCTTGTGACTTAAGGCAACACCGACGTAGTTCGCAATGGATGCAAATATGCCAACAAGAAACTGATGAATTGCAGTTCTGAACAACAGTGTGAAGATACAAGCAAACAATACCAAGTTTATTACGAACATGTTTGTAGATAGACTGCTGAAAAGTAATATCCTATCGAATATTTAACATCCATTTCATTCATATCTCTCAGCTTCAACATACTCAGGAAGAATGAGGCACCAAAAAATGGGAATCTATAAGAATCTCTCCCAAATATGTAAAAGAAACTGGTTGAAATCATTTGCTCTAAGTGATTTGTATTGTTGTTAGCCTATAATATCAAACGTAACCATTGTTATTGCTACTTATAATACAACTTATCAACAAATCTAAACTCAATCTTAATCCCTACCATTCGATAGAATTTAACAAACTCACATGGAATGATTCTGATTTTCACAGTAAAAATGATTCAATAAAATTAAACGATTTTATAATGGAATTCACCAATTACTTTGAATCGACTCTGTTAACTTATGAGTGGTTACTTTTTTCATTGAACTTTGGATAAGTTAACTTTGTACAGAACAACAGAATAAGTGATTCGATTAGAAATAAAACAAACACAATGTTAACCTGTTTATTCCGTTGACTACATAGACATATCATGTTTCTTGTGTTAGTTATTTGTATGGGGATGACGTCTATAAAAATCAACCATTAAATAGTGAACTATCTCTCACCTCATGATCAATGACAAACTGATATATCATTAGGCAGTGTTGTTAAACGAATCGTCAAGAATGATTCCTATGGAGAACAGAATGTTGAGTGAGTTACTGAATGTCAGCCAAAACCATTCTGTCAAAATATGAAACTAAACATCTTTAGGTTTATGGTTACAGGTGTTCAGGGTCTATCAACCTCAATGAATCATATTAACCTGATCGTCCACTCTGTAAAGCTTCATATTAATACAATATATTTTTACTTGCATGTCTCGTTGTGTTCTCATCCATGAACGTTGAATGGTCTGACAATCCTACACAGATAGTGTTATTTCAAAATAGGAATTTACTGGATGGAATAACGATTTATTCACTAACCCATGAACAACAGTTGTTGGAAGCACACTAGTCCAAACACCGTCTGATGTATATTTGATACGATGATGTATGCAACTACTGTTTACATTCAGTCTATCACATATGTGCGGTATATTTCAAGTTACATACTATTTTAATCCTTTGCATTATTCAAAACCACTAATTCACTAACATAATCTTACAGACCGTTAGATCGTTTTGTTTACTATTACTTATCATATTGTCCTAATTTCCTCCTTGACATTACCAGAAGTGATTACATTCGAATAGAGTAGCTACTAATGGAAGGATAATTATACGTGTTGTTTCTCCCATTCACATGATATGAAACTGGATGTCAAATGATGATAAAATTTATAAAATTCAAGCAAATTAAGTCGGTCTGTAATTGTGCATGCAATTTCACAATCTACAGTTCGATTTCACTGTTAACCTTCATTTCATTATACACATACATCAAGTTTTCTAAACATTGAAACATACCATTAGAATATTCAAAACATGATGTGCTAGGAGTTCTAAACAGCTCAGCAAAGTATGTTCGACTGACAGTAATCATGTCATTTAAAGAGTTCTTCCAGCAAATTCTAATTCTGCGTCGAGAATTCACTATTCATCTTGATCAGTTCGCCCAATGGTATTTGCAATGAGTATTAAAGCATATGATCGAACTCAAATGAATATTGAATAATCTTGTGGACATAAATATCACCATCTTACTCTCATATATTTGATAACTCTTTCAAACAATTGAACGCGAAACAACAGTCTGTGTAAGTAGACGGCTAGTCATTGAAACAATTTTGGTGATTAGATTGACTAGATAGTTTTCCTAAGTATGAAGTCCTTAACGAACATAAACATTTGAAACATTTGCTAACAAGGAAAGCTTGGTGATTACTTAGTCTACGTAACTCACATCATCAAATACTAGATTCTACTACACAATGGCAAACATTTTATATGAAAATCGATTACCGTAATGATTCGTTTAGGTCTACTGAGAATGGACGTCATTTCGAATGCATACCTATTATAGCTAGAAGACAGAAAGTGGTTATAGTAGTTAAGCGTGTGTTCAACAGCATCACTTCACATCCAAACATACAGTGTGTTCGTATGATGAGAAAACTACTTGTAGAATTCAATTAAAGCCTATATTGAGTAGGTGTGTATGATGTTTTACACTTCATTTTAGTTGTGTATCATTCTCTATATTGACATATAGATTACGTCGAATGCTAGTAAACCATGTAGAGGTTCATCCAGTTAGACTTCCATAGAAATGGCGGATTTCAATATATCCGTCACAGTATGTTTTCTTTCAATATTACTGTAACTAAGGATTGAAAACACTTGTACTGCCCTTTTATTGATATGAGCAGGCTCAGTATAGAAGATGGATGATTTTTTCAGTTTTATATATTATTTTATATAAGTCTTCATCGTCTTATTACCGTTTATCAATTTGATGTAATGACATTCGTTTGATGATCATTTTGCACTTGAATGATTGAATATTAGTAAGTATTACGTTATCATAAGGCGATATTTCTTTGCTTGAATTCATTGTTCTTTGAGTTGTTCTACTAATTTCATGTGAAAAACAACAGCTCCCTGACACATTAGTTTATGAATCCTAACTTGGTAACTAATAGGCTTGATCGGGTAGTTTATTGATCGGCCAGCTCATCAAGTGATAGTTATTTGTTCCATATGATGCTTACAAATAATTCTTTACTGTTGTATTAAAAACACTATGACACGTGAAAAGTAGGTCTTCCGAACTCATTACCGAATGTGATCTCTTTCCCAATTACGAAGATTAGGGTCGTAAAATGAATTTCAAAAGTCACACATTGATACATAAAACAATCCGTTTGTAGAACTTGTTTAGTATTTTTTTCGAAAATGTATTCACTGTTAAGTAGTTGGTCATTCTAATTGTTAATGCATGTTTAACGTGTTTTAGAAATCAAGTGCGAACTAGCTATCTACTTAGATAAATCATCAGATTGATAGGCATTTAACTATTGAATATATAATGAAATTGATTTGTAGTGGGAATAGAACTCCTTTTGGTCATTGAAATCATAACACACGTGTAATTTCATTCTCGATCAGTTTTGTGTGTGCAGACTACTAATTCCATTGTCAATTTTTCCAGGTTTGTTTCCTATACTTGTGGATCGATTTTGAATTTACACTGGTTCAGTGTGTTTTATGAAGTCACTCAAGGTGAACTTGACTTCTTTTGTATGGTACACTGGATCAATATTCCATTGAAATCTCAGTATAAGATGAGACCAACCTAAAATGACGTAGAACAATTATGGTGTATTCAATATAACCCATAAGTTTATCTTACTCATTCTAATGTTCACATTTGTTTCAAAACAATCGATGCTTAGAATTTCTCTGATATTATTCTGATACATCACATTGTATTTACTGTGCATTTGTTCAAATGATAAACAGGAATCTATAAACATGAGTAATTATTAGTGTTTTGCACTGATTATTCTAGTAATAAATCGTAGTTTCCAATGAACGTCAACATGAACAATTTCATACAGAATGGATTGATATAGACCTGTAATAAACAGCGATCACAAGATTACCACATTTAGGAAAACAAGAAAAACCTTGTCTTGGATCTAACCTCCTAAATGCTAATCATGCTATTCATTCGTATTAGTTTAAT